TTCATCATTATGAGAATATGGCGGAAACTCTTTTGCGAAGTTAAGTATCAACCATGTGTCTTTAGATTTAATGATAGATTCAGGGGCAACTTGTAATGTTCTTAATATTAGTGATTATCAGTTGATTAGCGATACTGTGGTACTTGAACCAACTAGTGAAGATTTATTTACATATGGAAAACGTCAAAGAGTTGATGTATTGGGTACTGTTAAAACCAAGATTGACATGGGGAATCGATTTGAAAACATGGAATTCGTTGTTGTCAATACGAAAGACTCGTCAATTCTGGGATATTCTTCCGCAAGTCTGCTTGGTTTTATTCAAATTAACCCATACAATGATACGGTTTTCTTTGTTAATAAGAATGTCGTTGAACACACTTCAACACCTGCATATAAATCGAAAATCGATGATCTAGCTTTGCTAAATTGTCCAGAGTCGGTAAAAGCAATAATACGCGATAACGCAAATGTTTTTACGGGAATGGGAAAATATAATGTTAAGCAAATTAAACTTCATGTTGACCCTACTGTTAAACCAATTTGTCAAAGTCACAGGCGTGTTCCATACCATCTGCGCAAGAAAGTAGAAACAGAACTGAAATCACTTGAAGAGTCTGACATACTGGAAAAAGTTGAAGGACCAACACCTTGGGTAAGTCCGATTGTCATTGTTCCTAAACCCGGTACTGATTGTGTACGAATTTGTGGTGATTATAAAGCTCCTAACTTGGCTATACAGAGAGAACGTCACGCGACTCCCACTGTACAAGAGATACTTACAAAACTTCATGGTTCCACCATTTTTAGTAAATTAGATGCGAATAAACATTCTCTCCAATTTGAACTTTATAAAGAATCACGTAACATTGCGACAATCAGTACACATGTTGGGCTTAGACGATACAAACGACTTCCCTTTGGTATTAATTCGGCAGCTGAAATTTGCCAGAATGAAATGTCATTGGCCTTGCAAAATATTCCAGGTATAGAAACTATTTCAGATGATATCATTATTCATGGCAACGATCAAAATTCGCACGACAAAGCGCTACGTAGCTGCCTGTCTCGTTTATTGGCTTGTGGCTTGACTCTGGGTTTATCAAAATGAAAATTTTCGGTTCCCGAAATAGTCTTCTTTGGATTTAAGTTTAATAAAAATGGGATGAGTTGCGATGAGAAACGAATCAAAACTATCCGCGAGTTGAAACGTCCGGAAAATGCCTCCGAGGTACGTTCATTTTTGGGAATGTTGGGTTTGCCTTCCATGATGGTGCCCCAATTTAGTACCATATCTGAGCCAATTAGACGTCTTACAAAGACGGGTGTACAATTTGTTTGGGGTGATATTGAAGAAGCTTCGTTTAATGCCATTAAAAACGCTATCTGTTCTGACATTTCTTTAGGATATTTTGACATAAATAAGGAGACTACTTTGACTGTAGACGCAAGCCCTGTTGGTATTGGCGCGATTCTACGTCAAGGTAACACCCTTATTAGTTGTGCCAGTAGAGCACTGACTGACACTGAAACTCGCTATAGTCAGCTAGAAAGAGAAGCGTTGGCAATATTTTGGGGTTTAGATTACCATCGTTTGTATCTCGACGGTTCACCAACATTTGTAGTGCAAACCGATCACAAACCACTCGTTATAATATTTAATCGTCAACAATTGCATAAAATGTCAGCACGAATTGAAAGATGGGTGATAAAATCTCAAAGATTTAGATTCGATGTTCAATATATACAGGGCGACAAAAATCCCAGTGATTACATGTCGCGCCATCCGAATCATTCTAAGCTACATAACGTAACTAAAGCAAATAACTATATTTCTTTTGTGCAACAACATGCCAAACCTTGTGCCGTTAGTTTAGCGGAAATACAACCCAAAATGATCCAACATTAATGTTTGTTGTGCAGTGTTTAAAATATAATATTTGGCACAAGAACATCAATGAAAATGTGAATAAAGATGCTCTGAATGTATATAAACAAATTAAGGATGAATTATGTTTCGCAGACGGAATACTTCTAAGAGGTACTAAAATTGTAGTCCCGTCTTCACTACAGCATCAAATTATCTCGACTGCACATGAAGGTCATTTGGGGTCATCCAAAACAAAGGCCCTTGTAAGAGAGAAAATTTGGTTCCCTGCTATGGATTCTCTCGTTGAATCTGCAGTGTCTAATTGTTATGCATGTCAACTTAATATTGACACCAAGGTCAAAGAACCATTAAAACCAACGAAACTACCTAAAGCAGTATGGTCATCTCTAGCAACGGATATGTATGGCCCTCTGCCGTCCGGTGAATATTTAATTGTAGTTATAGACGAGTATTCGCGGTTTCCAGAAGTTGGAATTACGAGTTCTACAAGTTCGGCAGCGGATATACCAAAGCTTGATCGCATTTTCACTTCTTATGGATACCCCGATAAACTTAAGTGACAACGGACCTCTGTTTAATTCAAAAGAATTCAAGACATATTCAAAGGTTTCTGGTTTTAAACATCAAACAATTACCCCCGAATTCGCTAGAGTGAATGGGTTGGCAGAAAACTTTATGAAAAACTTGGGTAAAATAATTCGTTGCTCATGAGTAGAACGAAAAAATTGGAAAACTGAAATCCGAAAATTTTTGTTGAACTACCGTTCGACTCCCCATCCGTCAACTGGGAAAAGTCCAGCAGAAGTTATTTTCAATCGAAAAATTAAAAATAAACTTCTTTCTATCGATCTCAATACGAAATTATCTAAAGGTGATCAGAGTATAATGTTAAGACATAATTGTAGCATGAATAAAAATAAATTGTTCCACGATAAACATGCTAGAGTGAAGCAAACATCATTTCCTGATGGGGAGAGAGTGTTTGTGAAAAATACAAAACGAACAAAATATGAACCAAGGTACAAGAAAGATATATTCCGTGTTGTGCGTTCCAAAGGTAGTATGGTGACAGCCAGCAACGCACATAATAAACAAATTACTCGAGATAAATCCTTCTTTAAAAGTTACCATGGTCCAAATGTAGATAATGTTGATATGGACAAGTATAATGAAGATGAAGAGTTAGAAAGAATTATGAATGAAATTAATAACCAAAAACTCCCTGCGGAAAACAATACACCAAATATTGAAGTGCAAGATGCACAGATTACGCAACAAAACACACAGCAAGCACGACCACTTAGAAGGTCAACACGAATAAGAAAACCAAATATTAGACCAGATTATTTATATTATTAGATTATTTATTAAATGTATAGATTAAATAAAATAAATAAAAACAATTGTTCTAATCCAAAAAAAGTTGAATAATAAATAAAAGTAATAAAAAAAAAAGTATATATTTAGACGAGTATTGTATGTACTAACAATTGTAATTTGTATTTGTAAAAGTATAGTTATTCATGTATTGCATATAAAAAATTGAATACTGGTTAATCATAATTTGTTGTAGAGCTTACTATTTAAAGGTGAAGAGAGGTGTAGTGATTTGTACACACTATTGATATGATAATTAATGTACACCTGGTATGCCAGTACATCTGGCATGCACTGCTATAAAAGAAATGTAATTCAATAAAATGTGGTCAGTATTCTATAAGCCTTGGTCGTGTTTGTGTCTTGTCATTTTACTGTGTGTGGCGTGCTTTGCTACGGGTCCACCCCAGAATACACATGCGACGAGGATGACATACTGAACAGAGAGAGAAGGCACTGCACTTAGAGTGAATGTTTTCTTCAGGTTGTTACACAGTGAGTACTATACGCCAGTCTACACGTGCTAGCCATTTAGAAGTCGTCAGAATGGCAGTTGAAGCTGGTTTTATATTTTCACAAATTGCTCCTTTAGATGTGCATACAGATTCTACTACATTGGCTCCACGATGGAAGCGCTGGTTGTCCCGTTTCGAAAACAGTTGCATTGCTTGGAAAATTACAGACCCAGATCAGAAAAAGGCCATGCTGTTGGACAGAGGTGGTGAAGATCTATTTGACATTCCGAAACTCTTGTTATGCCTACTGCACCTGAATATGACGACAGTTATAAAAAGATAATAAAGGCATTCGATGATTATTTCACACCTAAAAAGAACACTGAATTTGAAAATTTTCAATTTCGTGGTGCCGTACAACATGATACGGAAAGTATTGATCAGTTCGTTGCACGACTTCAAAAATTGATCAACAATTGTGGCATTTCTGACCAAGCAGTGAGGGATGAAGAAATAAAACATCAGATTGTCCAAGGAGGTAAGAATAAAAGGGTTCGCAGAAAAGCTCTCCAGGAAGAACTAACTCTTGACAAAATTATTTCCCTAGCAAGATCACTTGAGATATCAGAACGCGAAGCGCATGGGATTCAACATCCACAATTACCAGACTCCGTGAACAAAACTTTTCAATATGCAGCAAATCAGAAACGTCCTACGAAATCAAGGCGCAATACAAGAAGTCGGCAAACCAAAGATTCATCACAACGTCCATCAAGTTGTTTCCATTGTGGCGGACATTATCCACACCGAAATATCTGTCCTGCAAAGGGTAAGCAGTGTAATTACTGTCACGAGGTCAGACATTTTATTTCTTGTTGTCGTAAATTGAAAAGCAAGAACAAAACGCGAAGACCCAAGCCTAAGGTTTCCAACATTAACGATGTACGTGATCATGATATTTCAGATAGTAGCAGCAGTGATAATGATTTCTTGTTTAATATTCATGTTTATGAGAAATATGTGCGGAAAACTCTTTTGCGAAGTTAAGTATCAACCATGTGTCTTTAGATTTAATGATAGATTCAGGGGTAACTTGTAATGTTCTTAATATTAGTGATTATCAGTTGATTAGCGATACTGTGGTACTTGAACCAACTAGTGAAGATTTATTTACATATGGAAAACGTCAAAGAGTTGATGTATTGGGTACTGTTAAAACCAAGATTGACATGGGGAATCGATTTGAAAACATGGAATTCGTTGTTGTCAATACGAAAGACTCGTCAATTCTGGGATATTCTTCCGCAAGTCTGCTTGGTTTTATTCAAATTAACCCATACAATGATACGGTTTCCTTTGTTAATAAGAATGTCGTTGAACACAATTCAACACCTGCATATAAATCGAAAATCAATGATCTAGCTTTGCCAAATTGTCCAGAGTCGGTAAAAGCAATAATACGCGATAACGCAAATGTTTTTACGGGAATGGGAAAATATAATGTTAAGCAAATTAAACTTCATGTTGACCCTACTGTTAAACCAATTTGTCAAAGTCACAGGCGTGTTCCATACCATCTGCGCAAGAAAGTAGAAACAGAACTGAAATCACTTGAAGAGTCTGACATACTGGAAAAAGTTGAAGGACCAACACCTTGGGTAAGTCCGATTGTCATTGTTCCTAAACCCGGTACTGATTGTGTACGAATTTGTGGTGATTATAAAGCTCCTAACTTGGCTATACAGAGAGAACGTCACGCGACTCCCACTGTACAAGAGATACTTACAAAACTTCATGGTTCCACCATTTTTAGTAAATTAGATGCGAATAAACATTCTCTCCAATTTGAACTTTATAAAGAATCACGTAACATTATGACAATCAGTACACATGTTGGGCTTAGACGACACAAACGACTTCCCTTTGGTATTAATTCGGCAGCTGAAATTTGCCAGAATGAAATGTCATTGGCCTTGCAAAATATTCCAGGTATAGAAACTATTTCAGATGATATCATTATTCATGGCAACGATCAAAATTCGCACGACAAAGCGCTACGTAGCTGCCTGTCTCGTTTATTGGCTTGTGGCTTGACTCTGGGTTTATCAAAATGAAAATTTTCGGTTCCCGAAATAGTCTTCTTTGGATTTAAGTTTAATAAAAATGGGATGAGTTGCGATGAGAAACGAATCAAAACTATCCGCGAGTTGAAACGTCCGGAAAATGCCTCCGAGGTACGTTCATTTTTGGGAATGTTGGGTTTGCCTTCCATGATGGTGCCCCAATTTAGTACCATATCTGAGTCAATTAGACGTCTTACAAAGACGGGTGTACAATTTGTTTGGGGTGATATTGAAGAAGCTTCGTTTAATGCCATTAAAAACGCTA